ACATCTTCCTCAAGGACTGTCCACTCTGCCAGCAGGACTGGTGGGAATGGGGGCCAGGGGCACCCAGACAGGGCCAGGGTTTGTGAGAGCCCTGGTGGGGTCTTCTTGAGTGTGGGTGTGCAGGCCACAAAGCTTCCAGAACTCCTCTCCTGCCCGAGTGGTCATAGGCCCTTCCCCATCTATGCCCCACCTTGCCCCTTCCACGAGAATTTCCAGAACACCTCCTCCTCCTCTTCCAGCCTCAGGTCACCAATCTCCCAGCTCTCCGAGGCCCAGCTCCCACATCACCCTCTCCACAAAGCCTCCCGCCTCTGTGCTCGGGTCCAACACACTGGCCGCCTGGTGAGCAGGGACTTAACCAGTGGTGTTCACTTTGTTGCCCTAGGACCTCAGAGCATGTGGCACTTGGTAGGTGCCCAGTGTTTGTGGAGGGAATGAATGACCAGAAACATTTCAGGTGGATTTGAAAGGCAAGAAGAACTTCTGTCTGGACAAGGAAGGAGAGAGTGTCCCAAAAGGAGGTGCACGTGTGCGTAGGAAGGCCAGTGTGCCTGAGAGGGTGTGTTCAGAGAGCAGCAGAATTCTGTAGGGGGCTACTAGAGAGGTGGGCAGGCTATGGGGAGCCTCAAATGAGCCCCCTTTGCATGCCCGGAGGGAGCCGGGACAGTGCTTTGCTCCAGTGGACGGGCCTTGTGTGGTAGTGAGCTCCCTGTCACTGGCGTGTTCAAGCACGTGTGCTATTCAGTTTATCCTGCTGAAACTTGAGCACCCACTCGGCCTGACCCTCTGCAAGGATATAGAAGAGACTCAGGTCTGTCCTCGGCCCAGAGCAGAGACAGTTTGGCCAAGCCCGAGGTCCAGGGCAGGGGAAGGAAGTAGAGAGCAAAGGTTCACCTGGTCTGGGAGCCAGGGCCAAGCAAATTCTGCTGGGCACCAGGACTTCAGAGTGGAGGGGGCTTCTGCACCAGGTACTGGAGACATGAGCGTGTGGGGTCAGGGGGTTTATAAGCATAAATACCCAGGGAACTTAGACTCACTGCCATGATCGGGCCTGAAGTGGCCTCGTTCAGAGAAGCCAGATCACAGAAGAGCAGAGTAAGGGCTTTGGACCTGGACTCACGAGGCTTCAAATCCCCATTCCACGTGTTTTGTAGCCTTGTGCAAGTCTCTTCCCCTCTCTGGGCCTCAGTTTTCTCTTCTGAGACTTGGAATGATAAGGATAACGTCTGCCATGTGGAGCTGTTGTGCAGATTTGCTTTTTCATTCTTTCTTTGTTTTGTTTTGTTTTGTTTTGCTGAGGAAGATTCACCCTGAGCTAACGTCTGTGCCGGTCTTGCTCTGTTTTTTAGTATGTGGGCTGCCAGCACAGCATGGCTGCTAACAGAGCCGTGTACGTCCACGACCAGGCACTGAACCCAGGTCGCTGAAGCAGAACACGCCAAACTTAACCACTAGGCCGCCAGGGCTGGCCCCTTGTGCAGGTTTATTAAGATAGTGCCTGAGAGTGCCACGCCAGGGCCTGGGTGGCAGTGGTGCTGTTATTTATGATAATAAGGCTGCCAGCCCCGCCAGCCAACCTTGATGCTCATCTCTGGGGGGACGTGGGGAGTGGGGTGAAATGCCTACACAGTGGCCCATCAGCACATGGAACAGTCAGTTCCGGGGAGAGAAGGAAGAGGACGGCGTGCACCTCGAGCACCCCAGGAGGGCTTCCTGGAGGACAGTCTACAGTCCCTCCTGGGGATGAGGCCTGGGCGCCTTCCATGGGCCACAGGTCATGGGCAGAACTCAGGTTGTCTGACTCAGGAGGTGTAGGCTCCCTCCTGGCCATAGGGCACCTGTCAGAACAGAATGTGCCAAGTCCTGGGGGACCAAAGAGCAGTGTGTGCTGGGCTTGCCCCGCTCAGGAGAGCCAAAGGGCAGAGTATTTCCCATAATGCTCTGCTGGGCCTGGTGAGGGCCTCCAGGTGAACCCAGTCTGTCCTAAGCCAGTGAATACCCATCTCACAGAACCAGCTGCTCCGGTTGGTCACTCTTCAGACCTCACTGTGGGTCCCGTTTGGAGGGCTGGGGACATGGGGGTGTGAGATGTATGAGATGGGGCCTCAGGCCCTTAATCCAGCTCCTAGAGAAGTTGATAACTGCCACAGGCTACCCAAAGGGATTCTGCGGCCATAATTTCCCACCCAACTTGGGAGCGGGGAGGCCTGTGTTTGGACCACAGTGGAAAAAGGGTACAGAGGGGGCAGCCTCCTCTTCCCTCCTGCTTAATCTCGGGGCTTTATCATTTGGGAGTGGGGACAAGAAATGTTTACATGGCCTTGCATTTGTTTCAAATTATTCATCAGCGTTGGCGAGTCATTGTTCCCTGCTAGTGTAAACAGCCATGTCCCAAGGCCCAGCCACTCTGCCAGCTCATTCAGAGTTTGTAGATGTGTTACGTCAACTGCCCTCTGGTTCCTAGCTTCCAGTGAGGTGAAGAGGTGGGCCAGCCAAGACGGATGGCACCAGGGAGGGGGCTCAGTCATGGTGGGGTCGAAGTAGTGTTTCTACACCATGAATTCAGCAGTTGAGGGGTATATCTGGGTTTTTTTTGTTTTATCAATTGAACCTTTACTAGGGCTGGGGAAGCCAAGGTACAGAGCAAAGAATCTGAGAACCAGGGGGAGAACAGCAAAGAACGTGACTTTAAGGGGGTCTAGACTGAGTCCCAGGAGCAGCTACCCTTGTACAAATCTCACTGTTATGTGTGTGCCGGCAGGTGGGCGTCAGTGCCTCTCCAGGGTCTTATTGGGCCGGAGACAGGAGTAAGCCCAAGTATGCTGGCGTATTCCTTATGCTCCTCATGGCAGGCTGGCTCTGGTTTTGCATTTGCACCTGGGGTTCACAAGTGTATGTTCGAGGTGACACCCAGCTCAAGCTCGGGTTAAGAGTAGCTGGTTCTTCATAGCGTTAGTCTGAATGCGCTTGCTGGCGTGGCCAGCTTGGCTGGGGGGCCAAAGGCACGTGCTCAGGAGCTGGACAGTGGGTTTGAGTCCTGCCTTCGCTCTGAGCAGCTATGTGACTTTGCTCAAGTTACTTCAACTCTCTGTGCCTCAGTGTCCTCCCCTATAAAATGAGTCAGTGACACAACCTGTCGCCCAGGGTTACTGCAAGGATCGAGTGAGTTGGTGTTCTGGAGACCCCATGCTTGACATGTAATGAACACTTGGGGAGTGTTAGCCTTGTGTTCTTGTTGATAGGACGAACAGGACATGGTGCCTGGCGGAGGGCTGTTCATGGTCTAGTGCAGGCCAGAGACAAACCTCCCTGCCAGAGGCGGTGTGAAGGGTAGGTGCCCCAGGAAAGGTGATGCTGCCACTGGGCCTTTGGGGAGCCATCAGTAAAATTTTATTGAGTAGAGAAAGGTTTTCAGAATAATCCCTCTCTGTCCTTCCCAGCTTCCCCCAGGACCCGACTCTCAGGCTCCTCTCAGCAAGAGCCACCTTTACCGTTTTAGCTGTAACCGTTGGTGGCTTTTAGAGTTCAGTGCTCTGCCTCCCTCCTGGCTGCCATACGGCTGACATTTGAGCTTGCTGGAGAATAATGACCTGCCTCACTGTTGGCCTCAAAGGCAGTGACGGTGGGTGGTGAAGTGGTCTGCTGTCCCTGAGCCTAAGTAGGACCCGGCTGAAATCGTGCCAGAGCTGAGTCCTCTCCCGGTTCAGTGAGGTCGCTCTGCTGATTCTTCACCTATTCACATCCTTTTGGTCCCAGTAGTAAAAGATGGCTGTGTTAAAAAGCTCAAGGCCAAAGTGAACGTGTGTGTGTGTGTGTGTGTGTTGGGGTTGGGGGCTTGGCTAGAAGCAGCCAGTAGCTCACGTTGCCTTTGTGGTTTCATATATTTCCCTATTAAAATGACAATACAGACATGGCACATTAAGGTTTAAGAAGCCCTTCTTTCATTAAACAAACTGACAGTGTAGGGGGTTATGACTTTGGTAATTGAAACATGCTGTTCTGTTCAAGACCAGAGCTCCATAAAGACTCTTTTCAGCCAACAGCACCCTTTGTGCCAGCAGCCTCTGGCCAAAAATGAGTGTCGGCCCCGAGGTCTGCCTCTCCCGGAGAGAGGGAAAGACCACTTGGCAGCCCTCCGCAGCAGTCTCGGCAGCCAGAGGTCAGGGCTTTTTAAAAACCTCCCCGTTCTCTGGGCTTTTAAAATCAGTTTTCGAGGCAGAAAGCCTCCAGCGAGGGGGGTTTTAACAGGCTGCCTTGTCCTCCAGCCTCTCCTAAACTGCAAGGTCTTGTACTGCAGTTATAAATCTGAGGTGTGATTGAAGAAAGAGGGGACAGTGGAATTTGGTTGGCGGGGCTCTGTGTGTTGAGGGTAGATGGTGCAGGTTGCAAAATCTTCCTAGAGAGGGAGAGTCTGGCGGCATGAGTGAGAGCCCAGGTTTGGGAGTCAAACCACCAGATTTGAATCCTGCCTCTGGGGGACCTTGGACTTCGCCTCTCTGTACCTCAATTTCCCCATCTATAAAATGGGCTAATACCTGGATCTGACTTAAAGGGTTGCTGTGAGGATTAAAGAGGTCAAAGGATTAAAGAGGTAAGACGCTTAGAGCAATGCCAGGCACACAGGAAAATCAGGGTTGGGTAGCATTACGGCCATTCTAACTATCTACCTCTGTGGAGTAACTCTGTGAGATCCTGTTCGTGGAGTACTACCATAGAGAACTACCTTGCAGTCCCACCGTGGAGCGTCTCTGTGGAGTATCCCGCAGTATAGCACCATAGAGTTCCTCCGTAGAGTCTCGCTGTGGTGCAGGACCGTGCAGTCCCACTGGGGAGCATCTCTGTGGAGCAGCGCTGTGGTCTAGCTCTGTGGAGTGCCTCCCTGGAGCTGCTTCCGTGCAGTCTGGGGAAACTGATTGCTTCCATTTCCCACCAGCCAGTCACACCTCGCTTCCAGCTCCACATGTGATTTCTCTTCTCCTCTTTTCTTCCTCTTCTCACAGATGTGGATGAGTGTCAGGACAACAATGGTGGCTGCCAGCAGATCTGCGTCAATGCCATGGGCAGCTACGAGTGTCAGTGCCACAGTGGCTTTTTTCTCAGTGACAACCAGCACACCTGCATCCACCGCTCCAACGGTGAGTACTGCCCTTGCTGACCGAGCGGCGCTTCCAGCCCCACAGGAACAGGTGGCCCCTGGAAACCCCTTTCCCACATCTTGATTCCAGGGGCTGCAGGGTCCAGGCATGGAATTTGGGTGGTGGCCAGAAGGGCTATTTTGTGCTTCTGGTGTTGGTTCTGCGTGGGACTCCTCCCAGCTCCCTCCCTCCGCCCACTATGCCTCCGCTGTCTGCGTTCCTGGCGTTTTTGTGTGGAGGTGAGGTGAGGCCACAAATAGTCAGATGTAACCAGAAAAGCTGTTTTACTTTCTGGGCTGGGGGCTGGCTCTGGCCAGGAAGAGTGGGGCCCCATTCTCCATGGTTCCCTTCCCCAAGGGGGACTCAAGGCCTGCCCAGGCTGAGTGCCAATTTCTCAGTATTGAGTCTGGCAGCACCAGCAACTCTCTGCTGCACGTTCACTGGGTCATCAGCCAGTGGAGGGTCCTTGTGATCGGGCTCCTGCTGCCCTCTGGAGGCCAGGTAGGAGGGCAGGTCAGCCTGGGGCAGTATAGAGAGACCCAGGAACACTCCTGGCCAGCCCAAGTGCTGGGGTAGCCTGGGAACAGCCCAGACTGGGACAGAGACTGGCCTCCAGCCAAGCCCAGCAGGTGAAGGTTTTTGGTGTCAGAGCAGTGGTGATCAGAGTTTGGGTCCAAGGCAGCAGGGCTGTGAGGTAGGACAGCGGTCCAGAAGCCAGGACTCATGTACTTAGAAGAGAGGGGCTTCCAGGCAGAGGGAATGGCTTCTGCGAAGGCATAGAGGCATATCTTGCTTAAGGTAATGGCAAGGTCTGGAATCTCAAGGCGGGCTGTGTGCTGCAGCCGAGCAGGCTGAGGGCAGAGGCGAGGGCCAGCTCTCCTGGGGCCTGGCCATGCTTGTGGTCAAGGGAATAGATGTGGAAGGAGGACAGAACAGCCCCATGGCCGTGGTCCCAGCCTGAGCCCCTCCCCCTTCACGGACCTTGACAGGAGAAGTGCTGGAAGAGCGTGGAGGGGCCTCCCCTAAGGGCCACACCTCCAGTCCAGGGCACTAGCGGGAGGCTGGAGAATGGCTCACAGTGAAAGGTAGAGAACGAAAAGAACTGGGCTCCAGACTGGCTGTGAGTCCAGCTCTGCCCCCTGGCTGGGAGCCCTTCCTCAGCAGCCCCGATACTCTGAACCTCAGCTTCTTCATCCACAAAGTGGGCTGTGGAGTTGACCTGGCAGGGGCTCTGGAGGATGGAAGGAGATCCTGGGTAAGAAGTGCCCAGCATACGCTAAAGCTAACGAAGGTGTGAGGTGAGACCTGGGGGTCCTGGGCATGATTTTATTTGAAAGCATTTCCTGAGAAATAAAAGAGAAAAACATTTAACAAGTACAAAACCCAGGATAATTAAGCAGAACTCCTTTACCAGACTCCTTAGAATTGTTAGTGTTCTTTTAGGCAGTTTCCTCCAAGACAAGCGGGCCTGATGGCCCCAGCACTGCCGTGTCCCCAGGGACATGAAGGCCACGCTCCAAGGTTCCTGGGGGCTTGCTCGAGTCACACCATCCAGACTTCCACAGCAGCCCACACAGGCAGCTCAGCTTGTGCCTTAGGAGACCTCCCAGCTGTGGGGCTGCGGGGTTGACTGCCCAAGATGAGGACCCTGGGCCCAAATCAAGTTTTATAAGAAGCTGATTTATGGGGAGGAGAGTGAGTGTTTGTGGTGGGAGGGCGGTCCTGCTTGCATCAAGGAGAGGAGGTTTTACAGGGCAGCTGCCCTGAGGAAGCCGTGGAGTCCTAAGGCCAGGGTGGCCTGAGCCTCTTTTTCAGCCAGCTTGCGTGTGCTCTGTTCTTTTGATAAATGGTATTCCCCCAACCAGGGCTCCAGGAGAAGTTGTGAGGCCCCTGGTTGAAAGGAGGCTGCACAGGAAGGGGAAGCCAGCACACTGCAAGATGGCAACTGTGTCCCTTTGTAATAGGCTCCTGGTTTGGCCTGGAAGCATTCACTGTACTAAGGATGTTACAGAGCAAATGTCTGCATCAGCCAAAGGAATGGGGTTGGGGAGATGATGACGTGGGAAGCGGTGACGGTGACTGCTGTGGGACTGTGCACTTACTCTGAGCCACACACGGGCCCTCACGGCAGCCTGGTGAGGTGGGGGTATTAGAACCCTTGCAAGTTAGGGGACCTGCCCAAGGTCACACCATGGGGAAGTGACAGAGTCAAGATTCCAGCCCAGGGCACTAGCTGTAACATGATAAGACCGGTAAGGAAAGAAATAGGGTGGTGGAAAGGACAGGAATAGGCCTGAGCAGAAGGCCTCTTTAAGGAAGCCACACATGAGCTGAAACTGAACAAACAGCAAGAGTGGTTGTGGGAGGAGTTGGGGGCAGTGTTCCAGGCAGAGTATGTGCAAAGGCCCTGAGGTGGGAGTGGACCAGGCTCATGTGAAAAGCAGAATGAAGGATGAGGTGGTGGAGCACGGAGAGCCAAGGGGACAAGGAGCCCAGGTTGAGGGGAGCTTAGCAGAGGCAAGACCCCGTGAGGCTGGTGGACCCTGGGCAGGAGTTCAGATTTTGTGTGGAGGGCAGCCACGGGAAGCTGGTTAGGCAGAGGTTGAAAAGGATGCTGGAGGGGAGAGTGGAGGACTTCTAGGGGAACTCGGATACTTCAGGCGCTGGGCCTCAAGTTAATTGTGCAGTAGAGCCTTGAATTCATGAGCCTCACCCCACCCAAGGGCCCTGGGTGGCCAGATCCTAATTTTTAAGTGAAGCCAGGAATCCAGATTTAACCAGAATACAAATTTGAGGTCCTCACCCCCAATCTGTGTTAACCAGCACCTTGATTAAAGAAGTCCCGTCTCCCGTTAGGATTTTTAAATCTGGGCAATGCATCGATCTAAAAAGCAGCAGATGACTTCTCGGACACCTTCTGAAGGATGAGGGGTAGCATTTCCAGGCTTTCCCAAGGCTGTGCGGAAGGACTGAAGAAGAGGCCAGCTGTCCGTTGATGCCCGTGGGTGGAGATGGGGGCCTGGGTGACTGGACAAGTGGCCCCCCTCTATGAGTCTCATTCAGTTGTTGCACAACTGCCCGCCACAATTGTGTGACAACCACAGTAATGATTGTTACAGCTCAAAATCAGAGCTTGTCTGGGGTTCTGAGACCCAGCCTATTTTATACCTGAGTAGCCTCTGATCCCCGTGGCTCCTGGAAGGGCTGATGGGTCCAGAGCCATTTGGCAGAACAGATTCCTGTGTCACTTGACTCTTCCTAATGCCTGTCAGCTCTTTGGAGCCTCCCCTGAGCAGGGAGACTAGCACACAGGCTGATTTCGGTTAGATGGGGCTAGATGCACGAGCAAGGTCAGCCCAGGTCAGTTCAGGCTCCTAGCTAAAAAACAAGGCCGTGGGGCTCAGCTTTTCTGAATGGCTCCGCTTCCCAGCTCCAGTGCAAACCCTGGCCCAAGGCATGTGGATCTGGCCAGGCCGCAGTGGGGAGTTGTAGGTCCTCAGCCATTCTCCGTCTCCACCGGCCATGTGGCCTCTGCACAGTCACTCCTGCCTGTCTGGGTCTCTTCGTGTGCAAATGGGGACCAGTAATCCCTCCCAGGCCAGTGGGGGATCTGTTAGGGGAAATGCTTTGAAGCAGTTGAGTACATTGCCTACCCTAGGGTGGCAACTCACGTAGGCAGCTTCTTCAGGTCTTTAGACCTCAGGCGTGGTTTGGGGACACAGGCTGTTCCCCTGTCCCCACACTGGGAGCCAGAGTTGTTGGGATCTGTGGCCTGTCTCCCGCTACTCAGCATTTCCGGGCGCTGGTTCTGTCACTATGACAGTTCACACTCGCCTCCCTCTCAGCCTCTGGCCCAGCAAGCAAAAACAGTTGCTCCTCTGCCCCACGACCCCCGGGCAGACGCTCTAGACCAGTCACAGCCTCTGCTGCCCCGCATCATGGTCATGCCACCCGGGGTCCTCTCCAGTCCCAGAGTGGACGGGCTGCTGGGGAGCCAGCACCATCATGCTCCCTCCCTCTCCTGTGCTTGCTGTGTTTTCTTTACCTTATGTCCTGTCTCTGCTCCAGGAAGATGTTGCCTCCTGGAGGACCTTTTCCCCTTCTTCCCCAGGTAGAGTTCTTTCAGTCCAAGCAGAAGAGACTTAGGGAGGAGGAGGTGCTCTAAAAGGCGTAGACCTTACCAGCTATGTGATCATTCATTCATGTGCCAGGTCCAGGGCCAGTCCCTGGGATCCCAGTGTGAGCAAAGGCGGGCATGGTCCCCTGTGAAGCTTTCAGTCTAGAAAAGGGATCAGATGCTGAATAAGGGTCCTAGGAGTTACCATATTATAATAATGAGCTGAGAAAAAACCCTCTGGAGGGAAGGTCTGGGGCTCCTAGGGGCTCTCATGTCCTCATCTGAACAGCAGAGATGGAATGAGAGCAATCTCCTGACAACAGATTGCTGCTCTCGTGGGCACTGGTCCTGCACCACCACTGTTGCCCGTGGGGGTGGGTGTGAAGTGTCTGTGTCCCTCAACGCGGTCAGCTGTCCTGCGCAGCTGTGCTCTGAAGCCTCACCAAACGCCCACTCTGGGCTGAATGCAGCAGTGGTGGAAGGCACTGGAGTGAGAGGAAACATTTCGTTGTCCCCACAGGCTCACAAGAGGGCTTCGGGGCTGCATGTGTCAAAGCTGAGCTCTGGGGGCCTTTGACACCTCTGGTCTTCTTGTCGACTCTGGGTTACACCTTGATTAAGAGCACAGGTTCTGGGGCCCAGCTGCCTAGGCTGGAATTCAGCTCCACCCTCATTATCTGTGTGACCTTGAGTAAGTCAACCTCTCTGTGCCTGGCACTACTTCATAGGGTTGAAAGGTCATTCAGTAAAGGTGGGCTCTTATTGTTATTTATCACAGATGAGGAACCCGCAGGAGAAGGCAGAGCTCCCCCAGGGCCCCAGAGCAAGCCAGCAGCAAACCGGGCCTGGATGCACACTGAGCAAGGCTCTGCTGACGCGTGCT